GCGGGAATCGAACTCATGCGGAAGCGGCTTTAGATTCTCAGTGCTGGGCTTTAACCCGCTGCGCCACCAGGGAGGGCCTGCTAGACAACTTTTAAAGAAAAAATATAAACTAGGGATAACATTGAAAGTTAAAGTTCAATTCTGGAGCCTCCCTGGTAGTGTAAAGGATTAAGTGAGCACTATAAGGCAATCTGCAGTCACTAGAGCATGAGATTGATCCCCAGCCAGAGAGCTGACCTACATGGCACAGCAGACCTCTCCTGTCTCCCCTGCCACAACCCTCAGCAATGTATTTGAGTCAATCCACTTGTTCTGCTCTCCACTCTCTCTCTCTCTGGTGAATACTTTCACCCCACCACACACCTCTGGCTTATACCCCATTTCTATATGCATAAATAAATCTTCAAAGACAATTTTTAAAAAAGAAGACTTAAATTGATCATGGGAACATCTTCTCCAAGATTCATTTTCTGGGGGTCCTTTATAGTGCTGTATAAAGCACTATAAAGCCAGCAGCAACTGCTTCAGCACCAGTTCAATCCCAGGCCAAGGAGGTGACCCACATGGCAAAGCAGACCTCTCCTGTTTTGCCTGTTGCTCTCCTCAGCAGTGTCAATGTGCCTGTTATGCTCCCCAGTCTCTCTAGTGAATCCTGTCACCGCCCCTGCACCTCTGGCCTGTTCCGTATGCATAAATAAATCTTAAAAACAAATGATTCATTTTCTGCACTGCTAAATAGGAATAATAAGCTTACTTATCTCACTGATTGTCAGGAAGAGACAATCTCTCCCAATGAACACATTTTAGTGGGTGCCACTTCATTATTAATGATTAATGAACTTTAAACACAGTCCATAGGAGTGGTTCTTTGTCATTCGACATAGATCCCTATTCACTGAAATGCCCTATATAATTTTTTATTAAGATAAATGTCAAAATATAGTATACTGAAAATGTCACATTAATATCAGTTTGGTGGGCCCTCCCTGGTGGCACAGTGGGTTAAAGTGCAACACTGCAAGCTAGCTGCAGCACTTCAGTGCCGGTTGGATCCATGACCCCAGAGGTGATCCACATGGCGCGACAGACCTCTCCTGTCTCGCCCGCTACTCCACTCAGCAGTGTATCTCGTCTATCTGTCTGTTCTGCTCCCCTCTCTGTCTCTGTTGAATCCTCTCACCCTCAGCACCTCTGGCCTGTACCCCAGTTCTGTATGCATACATAAATAAATCTTTTAAAAAATCAGTTTGGTAAGGAAAATAACACATGAGAGGCTCAAGAGAATCTTTTTTTTTTAAAGATTTATTTATGTATGCATACAGAACTGGGGTACAGGCCAGAGATGTGGAGGGTGAGAGGATTCAACAGAGACAGAATGGGGAGCAGAACAGGCAGATAGATGACAGGAGAGCAGTAGGCGGGTCAGTAGAGGTCTGCCCTGCCATGTGGATCTCCTCCGGGGCAGGCGGGAATCGAACTCTATGCGGAAGTGGCTTAAGCTTCTTAGTGC